AATGTGAAAGGATGGGAATACCAATCCAGGACAACTTCTTGTACACATTAAGCTTTGCAGATGACCAAGTGGTAACGGCTCAAGATGAAAAAGATCTGTGCTATATGCTCCGAAAATTAGAAAAGGAATACACAAAAAATGGACTGGAAATAAACCTAGAAAAGACCGAATGTTTAACAACAGAGCAAGAACCAGTGAGAAACTTGGAAATTGACGATAATAGGGAAATTAGCGGGATTAAAAAATTCAAATATTTAGGAAATATGCTTGTATTTTCGTGTTAATTTTACAGCAAAAAAATATTAAACATTCATCGTACATAGAATTATATAATTATAATATTAATAATAATAATCAACAACAGAATCATATAATTTAAAGTATAATTTTAAAGGCGAATTCCTAACATTTTGTAACACTAAATTTAAATAAGTACCCACAAGAGCAACCGCAACATACTAATTCATATTAATATTTATTGCAAACTATAAACGACGATACATTAAATAAACTAAATAGTGTTCCATATATAATATTTATAGTATTTTGATAATTATTTAAGTTCTAAATACGGAGAATACATACCATTAAAGAAATAATAAATGTTCCTAATTACTTTTATACGAGTGCGATCCTTATTTACAAATATTTAATATTATTTTTCGACAACTCCGAAAGGCAATGCCTGTCGTTTAATTGAACAATTTATACAATATTAATGACTTATAAACGATTTATAGCTATTTAGGATTTGATCGGATACAGGAATTTTTTCGGATGGCGTGAAGTTTGAATTGTAGCTAGGAAGAAAGAAATCCAAAAAACTAATGTATATAGTACCGATGTGTGATTTTACACACCTCATCTCCTAAGCTTTTTAAATACCTCGCGAAGTATACAACTGGTATTATCAAACTGTGAAAAATGTTGTTCTGCAATACTCAGCACAGGATATCTATGTTTTTGGTGATTACAATCTTCCCAATGCATCATGGGAGAATAATGAGTTTGGTGTAATGGTGCTTTGTCCTGCACGTGATCCAGCTGTGAATATTGCTCAAGCTTTTGGTTTGTCCTAGAATCCATCATGTGGGTTATGAATGTTGCTTAAACCTCGATGTGAAAGAAACAAATAGAAATAAGTTGGTTTATGATGAGTTGTTTTATGATTTTTGGAATGGCGATTACATTGCGCTTAATAATTTCCTAGCTTCCATAGACTGGCAGGTATGTATACAAAATTATATGTTGCTACAAAATTATTCTATGAAGTTCTCTCTAAAGGAATTGCTTACTTTGTGCCATTGAAGAAATATAGAAATTTAACTTTTCCCAAATTTTGATCTTAGAAGACTGACTCTAGAGAAAAAATATACTCACTATATGTATTGTTACGAACATGCATTCGGCATGGCCCATGTAACGGTTGCATCTCTAAACGACTTCATCTCGGGCTGCCAGAACCTTCGCGATGTATGAGCGCCATTTGTCAAACAACGAATTAGAGGTGGGACTACCCCAGAAAATTCGAGAATAATACTTTTTTGGTATATATATATGTAACGATGTTATGAGTTAGTTTAGTTGATAAGATAGTACCGAACTGTAAAGTTATAAATAAATATATTTATATAAATTCGAACCGCTCGTTTTATTTAATCTCGATACAGTTGGTGTCCGGTGTGAGATTTCAACATAAATCCAGCAATGACTTTTGAAAAAGACTTTTGAATTTTTGAAAAGTATTGTTCGTCGGGAACATTCGCGTAGTTCGGTAGTGAAGTTTGTACTAAAGAACATTTTAAAAAAGTACGTGTGTGCCTGACCAAAGATGTTGCTAGTAGAACTTTCAGTAAAACAGTTGCGTGAGCAACTAGAAGAACGCGATGAAGACTGCAGCGGGTCCAAAAAGATACTCCAAGAACGACTGAAGACTGTTCTCAACAAGAATGGAGAAAACCCAGAGACCAGTTCCAGTCAGCAGAAGAAGCTGTTTTAACGAAAATAAAAAATGTGTCGCAAATGATTGAAGAATCTTCTATAAAAAATGATAAGAAATTTGAAAATGTCTCGCAAATGATTGAAGAAACTTAAAAAAAAAATGATAGTAAATTTGAAAACGTCTCGCAAATGATTGAAGAATCTTTTAAAAAAAATTATGATAAATTAGAGAACGTTTCCAAAAGATTCGATGAAACACTCGAAAAGGTTTCTAGAAGATTCGACGAAGTATGTAACCAAAACAATGAGAAATTTTAAGAAGTCTCAAGAACATTCGATAAGATACAGAAAAATGTAAACAAGACAAGATAGACAAGATAGAAGACGTAGAAGAGAAGATCAAACAGTTAGAGAGCATGATAACTAACACGAAAGTGCTACCACCAATTAATACGGTAGCTTTAAGTCCGGTAGTGAAAGAAGAATCACCTAGAGACCAAACGACACATTATATGCGATTCGAATTGCCACCATTTGATGGAAAGTCTTCTTCTTCTAAGATCGATTCCTAGGGTCAAGAAAAATGGTACCAGACCTTGTTCATTCGACTAAATAAACGTTACGGAGATGCCCATCTATAAGTCTACAAAGTACAAATAAGAAGTAGAATCCAACGAGCAAGTGAAAGTTTGTAAGAATTTGAAGCATGATATTGCTCGTATAGCGCTGTTGGCCTATCCAGAGGCACCAGACAACATTTTGGAAGAAATTGCTGTAGATGCCTTCGTCAATGGGTTGAGAGACAGTGAACTACAGAAAGCTTTACGACTAGCAAGACCGAAAGTTTTAGATGAAGCGCTCGCCATTGCCTTGGAACACGAGATAGCTAGCCGAGTTTCGTGGAGCTATCAAGTACGAACCTCTGAAGAGACCGAAGTACAAAACGATAAACGTCTGGAGGAAATCGTACGGAAAGTAGTTCGTAACATGATGCTGAAGAGACGTGAACCCAGATATTGGAACAGTAACGACATAGGTCATATTCGTCGTAAATTACAAGAAAATAATACAACAGTGAGAAAGATAAAACAGATCGAACACTGGGCTGGAAAATGTCATTCAAATGCTGATGCTCAGTAAGACGGCCATACAGTGCAAATCGTAATCATTGTCTTGAATTAGAAGAACGACTTTGCCCGTGAGACGAACCACTGTTATTAATGATCAATGGCAGCCTCAACAGCTACAAGACGCTCAAGCAGATGATCCATGTATAAAAAGAATATTGGATTGCATGCGTCGAAGTGAAAGGTCTTCTTGGCAAGACATTAGTGCATGTAGTCCCGAAGTCAAGTGTTACTGGAGCCAATGGAATTGCCTAGTGCTGAAAGATGATCTTGAATGAATTTTATAGCTATAAGTTTCAATATAAAGGATTTTCATTCAAAATTGTGCAAATATTACTTCTTAATGTTTATAAACAATGTAGATATGATTTTTTTTAAAAATAGTCCCTAAGTTCGTCCCTATTGGTCATAGAAGGATTTTTTTTAAATGTGTGTTTTTACCAGCTATCCAATGGTTGTACGTATACGTCTGTAGCTTGAAAAAATATAGAAGTTTTGCAATTGTTTATAAATAAATACTTGCGATAAAAACGCAATATGCATTTAACTTCCGAGTTTAAATGTTAAAGAATCCTATGAAATATGTCCTATGTCTAGCATTATTAATAGAGCAAGTTCAATAGTTTAAATATTTAGCCTCAGGGATAAATAAATTAAATAACTAATTATTTGACCGATCGGGGGGAAATTTTGCACAAATTCAAATAATTATAAATAATTATAATTATAATTAAAATATAAATTAATAAATATTATAAATTAGTGCAAAAAACTGGTTTTTGCAAATATCTCCGTAAATTATTTATCAATTTTAATATAAAAACGGGAAAATAAAGATATTCTTGATATAAAAAAATGATATAAATATTGTTTATGTAAAATATAAGGGAAAATGGACAAAAAATCAAATTGTGACCATAAATTATTGTTAACAAAAACCCAAGGTAAAAATACTGAGTACTTTTTTATCTATTCGTCATTTAGTAATCCCCACCTATATATTAAAGCTTCAGATATCTGCGAAAAATGTTTCGACCTTTTTTTTTAATCAGACTAGGCTAATAGTCGGGCCGTTATTGTTAATAATATTGCCAGCTAATGTGTTGCAGCTACATATTGCAGTAAAAATTTACTGTCACCTTAAGAAAATTAGGGCGCAAAACAAAAAAAAAAGTTTAGAATACTCTTTTTAAATACCCATAAAACCCTAAAAATATAATTTAGTACTTTGAAATAAAGGTGAAAATTATGATATTTAATATAAAGGAAAATATTTGAAAAAGTACCATATTAAAATTGGTTGTAAATACAGCATATTCGTGTGAATATAAGATATTATAATAGAAATCAAATAATTATTTTTGAAATAAAACATTGTAATAAACAAACACAAAAAAAATAAAATACAAGAAAAATAAGCAAACGAGAACTTAAGGTGTCCAAAAGCTACAAAACAATATAAAGTAACCGAGAACACCCCACAATACGTTTTTCTTTGTTGATATTAAAAAAAATTAAATAATACATTTTTAACTAAATTTATCCATCAGAGCCAGTCCATATCTGTCTTATACACAATGTATGTATATGAAACACAAAACAACAAAAACTAACCCATAAATGCAACCGTTTAAATGTTATCAACATTTATCTGATCATACCGATCAACCGAAACGTTTTTAGTCCACCATATAAAACCACTTGCAAATCTCAAGGAAAACAAAAGGCAATGACCCAATAACTACCCAAATAAAAATAAAATAATCCCTGTCTGGACGTGCCTACGTTAATAATAGTTAGCAACCACCTCAGCTTGAGATCCACTTCCCACAGAAAATGCACTCGACGCCTAATAAAACTATTATTATCCTGTCCCAGTTCTACATACGATGAATTTGAATCATAAACAGGAAGAGTAGCAAAAGTACTTACCGATACAAGAATGAATTTTTACTTCTTTGTGTTCACTGAATTTTTTTGTTCCGACCGGCGAAATATGGACAACGATTGTTCGTTCGTATACCGCAGATTGCTGGTAAACAACTGTTTTAAAAACGTTTTTCAGATGCGATTGGAAACGATTGAGTCGAGACAGAAATTTCATAGGCAGAGGCAGGCACTGAAATGAGCCAGAGGCTTCAGTTTTGCCGGTGGGCACGTTTACACGGTCGTCGAAACGTCGTGCGTTTCAGCATAGCTTATCGGTACCTGTTGATTCCACCAAAACATATGGAGGTAATAAAAAAAGAAAAAAAAAAATGAACTTTTAGATATTCCTGTTTTTCATTGACGTTTCGATATTGGGACTATAGTATACAAAAAAGCAGTAAACAATTCAAAAAAGTGCATTCCTTAAGGCTCGGTTATAAGTCCTACGCTATTTATAGTGGCAATCAATGATATTCTCAAAAATCTAAAATCGCCTATAAAGGCACGCGTCTACACAGATGATTTTGTAGTTTTTTTGCAAAGTAAAAATATACAAAATATATTTTGTCACACACAGAACTTTATACAACACTTAGAACTTTGGTCACCAAATACAGGTTTCTGTTTTTCCACTGAAAAAATTTGATTCATCCTGTTTTCAATAAAATTCTTAGGCATGGAATTCGAAGAATCTCTAAGCTGGAAACTTCATATAACAAATTTGAGCTTATCTTTTCACAAGTGATTAAATCTTCTAAAAACTATGGTAAATAAAGAATAGGGTGCGGATCGCCAAACACTTTTAATGTTATACAGAACAATGATCAGATCAAAATTAGATTATGGATCTATTGTATATAACGGAGAAGAAGTTCCAGAAGAATGGAGATAATCGTATATCTCTCTAATACACAAGAAAGGCACAAATACGGATCCCAAAAACTATAGAAGGATCGCAGTGATTGCTACTATAGGCCGACTATACTCAAAAGTACTACGAAACCTGATAGACAATGATATTAAAGACAAACACCCAAAGAACAAGCGGGATTTGGGGCCAGACACTCCACTATGGATAATATTTTCACATTAAAAATTGCAATGGAAAAACTATTGCAGAGAAATAGAGATATCCATATAGCTTTAATAGATTTGGAAAAAGCATACGACAGTGTGCCGATCTCCCAACTATGGATAGAAATGGGTAACTTGAAAATAAACCCAATTCTTATTAACGCCATGCAAAAATACCCCGAACAAAACTGTGCAAGAATTAAAATGGGACAAGAAAGCAACTCTCCTTTTCAAACAACAAAGGAACTAACTGTCACCCACCTTATTTAAAATCTATTTGGACAGATTGTTAGTAAAATGGGTAAAAAAATGTAGAAGCATGGGAATAACGGTGGAAGAAACCACGCTATATACACTTGTCTTTACGGATGACCAGGTAGTAATTGCCGAAGACAGCTACGATCTTAGCTATATGGTAAGAAAACTGCAAGAAGAATATAAGGTGGCAGGTCTAAACATGAATATGACAAAATGTGAATATCTCTGAGTGGGAACAGATGAAATATGTGACCTAGTCTTGGAACACGACAAAATCAAAGGCGTGCAATCCTGCAAATATTTGGGGGTCATTTTCGACAAGAAGGGAAATAGCGCAGATGAAATCAGGGAAAGAATAAACGAGGGCAGAGCAACGACCCGTATCTTAAACTCTCTTCTCTGCCAAAAAACAATTCGACGAGAAACCAAAAAACACATTTACGGTAGTATAGTCCAAAGTATTACACTTTACGGTTAGGAAGTATGGGACGTCACCAAAGCTAATAGAAACAAACTTATGACGACAGAAATGGATTATATGAGATCAAGCTGCGATAGGTCGAAACTTGAGAGAGTTAGAAACGAACAAATAAGAAACGAAATGAAAATGGAGCAAAATATAAATGATGACATAGAAAGAAAAGAATTAATCTGGTTCGGACATGTTAAAAGAATGCCAGAGTACAGATGGCCTAGAAGAGTACTGGAATGGATCCCCCTGAAAGAAGAAAGAGATGACGACCACGGAGAAGTTGGCGCAACGATATTAATGAAGCAATGGCGACAAAACACTTAGATGAGGCAACTGCATATGACAGAAAAAGATGGAAATTGGATGCGGAGAAGCGGCGACAGCCGTAATTTAATCCGTATATATATATATATATTATATATATATATATATATATATATAATCTTCTGTATACTCTACAGCCACTAAGACACTGCTTAAAAATCTTGACAGTATTCACAACCTATCTTTACGTATAATATCTGGAGTTTTTCGCACAACACCAATCGAAAGTATTTAGTCCTTAGAAGACAGAAGACTTTATTTAAGTGTAGCATACGCTGCAAAAATCGGGTCTAACCCAAAAGACCCTGCTATTCACAATTGAAGACTCGAGTGGATAAAGGAGGTAACTAACAAAATTATACAATGGAGAAAAAGCAGATTAAAGTTTTAATTTTTAAACATGTTGAAGTTGCATTATGTCATTGTGCGTTTTGTTTTAAATGTTTTCGGTGAGTAGATATTAATGGTACATTTTATGTGTGCAACTTTGTTAATTCGCTTTTTGTTTTAAAAACCCAAAATTTTGAAAAAACTACACTTACCTCCTTTATCCACTGACATTTTTTTACTATAACTAGATACTAGTTTTCTTTTAAAGGGGTTAAGTCAAGGTAAAATAAAATAAACGAGCTGAATACATACATTTTATTAAAAAAAAGTTAATTCTATTTGTAAAACAAATAATTTTCTGTTTAAAACGCCCAGTGGTAACATGTTTTCAATAAAAAAAATTTAATTTATTAGTTATTATTCTGTTCATTTTCGGTAATAATCGCATTATAATACCATTTATACGGTTGCTTGACAAATTGAAGCTGACTCTTGAGATTTGCCACTTTTTCAGTTGATAACCGGCCAGTTTTTTCCCTAATTCTTTCAATCTCGCAATCAACTGGTTGGGTCTGACGCGAGTTCCTAATTATATTTACCTCTTTAAAAGGTGTGTTTGAATCATAGCTCTCTTTATATAAATAGGATCCATAATTACAAACACGAATCCATTTTATTCCATCTCGAAATGGGACAGTTTCATTTAAAGTATTTTTCTTGCGATTAATTAAATTTAAATTCCGTGCCAAATCGTCAAATTTTCGAAAGTGTATACGCATGTCTGTAACATGATTCATTTTACTTGCTTGGGTAATTATGGTTCTATATTCCTCAGGTAAAAATATATTTTCATGTCGACGTAATACTTTTTCGATACGTCCGAAATCTCTGTCGGAGTCTAAAAAACTATGTCCAACCTCAGGAAATTTATGGTCAATAGTTTTTACAATTCCTTTTAGTATAAGGTACTGATAGAGACATATGATCAAGAAGTTTTTATTTTGACCTGCGCAAGAGTCGGTCCATATTATCAGATGAGATATAGCATTATCTTGAAAAATATTATTGTACTCTAACATGGTTAGTAATGAACTACATACTTCAGAGCTTCCTCTAAGAGCCATGTCCTCAGTCCATGTAAAAAAGTTAGCCTTTTCTGAAAGTTTTGTAATTGAATGTATTCCTAAATTATACATCCACATCTGACGACGATAAAAAGCCTTACTAGTTGTTAATTTAGGAAGGGGAAGTGTTTGTTGCATATCCATAGTTAGATAACATACTCCATCTTCGTTTTTTGCATACTCACGATCTGCACGTTGTATAGAAAAAGCTGCCTCGTAATTTTCCTTATGTTGCTCATTAGCGTTTCCACTGTCGCAAGTACTACAAGTGTCACTGCGAGGTTCACCAAATGATAAATTAAATTGTTTAGAGAATATGTTGCTATAGGTACAGTATTTTACTTAAAAACGAGACTGTTTATTTTCCTCAATGCATTTTTCAAGATATAGTTTGTACATTTTTGATATATTTAATGTACAGGCAAGGTATTGTTTATTCGGGTTTTTGTTTCTGGAGTAATGTGACTGGGTAGCAGGAAACGAGCTAATATGATCCATAATATATAATTTTACGTCTTCTGCAATTTTGTGTGGCCTATTTTCATGCTTCCCTCTTTTGCAAACACTAGGAATTTGCAGTCCGTCCTTTAGTTCTCGTTGTAAGTTTTCTATCTTTTTTTTGCCAATTTGAAACAGAGAACAGAATGCTTTTTTACAAACAAATGTTTCTGTAGTATCAATGCAAATTTTATAAATAAAAGATGCAGATTTGCTACGAACTGCATTTTTATTTGGCCTTGCTGGTTTCTTAAAACTCATACCCTTAAAGAGATATATATTTTTCATGTCTTCAGTTGCCAGTTGGTAGTAGGCAGAAAATATTTTTGTTCTTTGCTCTAAATTAATTTTATCATTGCATTTCTTTTTGCATTTTTGACTACAAAGCAAACCAACATTTACACTTTTACATTGTATTATTTTTCCTTTTTGATTTATGTACGATTGACCTAGCTGTCTAGCATTACTTGCTGTATTTCTTTTCCATAAATTTGGATCACTAGATCTCTTTCTTGCTTTTGGTTTCTACTTTTTTAAATTCTTTTTGTTTCTTTTTAGATAAATCATTAAAAACGTTTTCCTTGTTGTTTTCATTTTGTTGAAGAGTTGATAAAGTATTTATCTTCAGTCTTTTGGTATACAATCATTGTCGGAATCTGTGTCCGTCGTATCACTAGAACTGGGTAAATACTCATCACTTTCATCGCTGGCCCTGAACGGGTCATTTTCCAATTCGGCGAAAACATCTGCAATAAATAATAAGTATTAAATGACAGAAAATAATGTTTTGAGGTCTCATGCATCATACCTTCTTCAATATTGCTATACCCTGTATGTTGCTGCAAACAACTTATAATTTCACCTAAATTTGTGTTAGATTCTGGGTTGTCCAATGTATTGTGTGTTTCAGCAGCTACGGATTCACACACAGTTGTATCTGATGCACCAGAGGTAAGTGCTCCAATACTAACATCTAATTCTACAAAATACAACAATAAATTATACTCGAACACATCTAAATGCAATAAAAATTACTTTTTAAATCCGATACTCTAGAAGCATTCAACGTTTGCT